AAGAGGAGGCACGAAGATATTGAGCTCCATCCAGAGAAACCCTGTCCCAAAAAAAAAAAAAAAAATATTAAAAAAAAAAAAAAAAAAAAAAAAAAGGATGTGGTGAAGTAAGGATGTGGAGGGAGACAGCAAAGTGCTCATCATTAGTCATTCAGCATTCGGTGACCAGCACTCGTTCAGCACCTGCAGGTGCTGAAGGTGAATGAGGACCAGGGGCTGAGGCTTCCTTTCTGTTTCTTTTGTCCAGAAATCAATACTTATGCACAGAAATGTCTAGTAAGGCCAACACCCAAAAGCTGACAACTGTGATCTCTAGAGGGTGGGACTCTCATTTTCAATTTTCCAAATTTTATGAAATTTCTGTGGTGAATGTCATAAAAATATCTAAGCTGTCATCTGTGGTTGTCATAGAGGTTTTCAGTGCTTAGAGTCCAGGAACTTGGGCATTTAAGTGGATTTGAACACAGGCAGGTTTCCCGCTTTCGAGGAATGTGTGACATTCCACACAATGCCAGAGCTGTAAGAAACCTTAGTCATTACCTAAGGTACAGAGAAACAAGCGCAAGTGAGGGAGAGCAAGAGCAACACAGGGCTGCTAGGGATGGGCAGTGAAGAGCACAGGGAGCCAGGATGCCTGTAGTCCTTGTACCACACCCAACCGCTTAGTTAATATCAATGGGCAATGGGCAGCACGCCTATGTTCATTTAAACCACAACTACTCATGGCACCCCAACTCCTGTCAATTTTCATCACTTTGTTTTTTTTTTTTTTTTTTTTAGCTTCCAAATGGGTGAAAGGAAAAAGGATGTGTTCATTACAGTTATATTCTGTCTCCACCCAGCTGCAGAACAAATACTCCAGAAGTGGAATATCGTGCTTGTTAAAGGAGGAAGAGGACTCCTGGGGCTCCACTGAGGAAGAAAACAGATACTGCTTGCAGGCTAAGAGGGAACTGTATCAGCTTATTGAAGAGGTAAGTACTCAGCAGGAACTTGAGGTCAGAGGGGAAAGAGTTTTCAGACCCTCAAGTCTGGAAATCTGTATTTTGCAAATGAAGAAACCAAGCCCCAAAGGGTTTAAGTGATTTCCCCCAACATGGTGCAATACCTGATATCAGATGGCAGAGAAAGATGGCTGCGTTAGCCAGCCACCTCCTGGGCCTTTGCGTTTTGTTATGGGAACACACACACAGACGACGTGTGTTTAAGGTTGCCTGGTGTCTCTCTGTTTGTTTGTTTTTATTTACTTTTATTCAGAAGACAAAAGAGGCCAAATGGTGTATTTTCTACTCATCACACATGGCTGATTTTGTGAATTAAATGCACATTTGCTTTTTGTGTGTGAATGAAAAGAATACTTTGAGAAATTGGAGGTGAGGTTATCTCAATTCATTGTCAACACATGACAAGTTAGAAAAATGCATTTGTTGATGCAAGTTGCTACCCTGGCATCTCTGGCAGAAAGCTCAGGTTGGCTAACAGTTCAGTTCACTGAATGTGGTTAGCTGATTTTACTTTTAGATTAAGTCAGATCAATTTCTTCTCTGCCTGCTTCCTTCTTAGGAAGCTGGCATTTACAAATATTTGCCTTCTGCCTTTCTGAGAAGGTCAGATGGAGGCACAAATATTAAAAATACTCTGCAAACTAAGAGGCCTCATACATGACATCACCATCTAAGGATATGGTGGGAATTCCCAGTGTGGGAGGAGGTTGTATGCCAGACAACCTTGGGGAGTCTATTGTTCGTTCCATGGAAACAGTATTGTCTTGATGATCAGGCTTCAGTGGGTAACTCGAGCAGTATTCACAGTAGAGTCCAGGCATCACCTGGAATGTGGCTTCTAAGTGGTTTTCCACTTGGGCATTCTGTGAGCACTCCCAGACTTGGCGCCATGGATGATTAATGTGATCTAGGAAAAGCCCAGGCTTTGAACAGCTCTGGATGTGACTTACAAAGCCCTTGACTTAAGGGGTTCAGTGGGCCATCAAGAAGAGAGACTTGAACTAATCTGGAAGCTGGGGTGTGAGTGGGTCTAATGTCTGGAGGCTGGGGTGTGAGTGGGTCTAGTGTCTGGAGGCCGGGGCGTGAGTGGGTCTAGTGTCTGGAGGCTGGGGTGTG